CGGCGCCGAGGTCCTTTTACTACATACAATCACTAGCGCCGGGCTTTACTACATCACTGCGGCGCCGATGGTTACTGCATAAGCGGCGCCGAGGCTTTACTACATCACTGCGGGCGCCGAGGCTTTACTGCATAATCGCGGCGCCGAGGCCTTTACTACATCACTGCGCCGAGGCTTTACTGCATCGTGGCGCCGAGGCGTTATTTCATCACTGCGCCGAGGGTTTACTGCATCGCGGCGCCGAGGCTTAACTACATCACTGCGCCGAGGGTTTACTGCATCGCGGCGCCGCCGAGGCTTTACTGCATCGCGGCGCCGAGGCTTTACTACATCATGGCGCCGAGGCTTTACTACATCACACGGCGCCGAGGCTTTACTACATCACGCGCCGAGGCTTCACTGCATCGCGGCGCCGAGGCTTTACTACATACATCACGGCGCCGAGGCTTTATCGGATCCTGCAGCGCGGCACGACTCCAGCCGCCGACTCACCGGCTCGGCCAGGTGCGTCTGGCTGCCCAGCTGCTTCTGCAGCAGCATGCGGCGCGAAGCGTCTAGCTTCTTCACCACCTTCTGCTCCTTGCCGTCCGGCCGATCCTTGCCTGCTTCGCTGCCGCTTGATCTGAGATCAAGATCACCATGTTCTCAGCACTTGATCAAGACTATTTCACCATGTCATCTCTTCACTTGATTGTGGTCATTATCACCATGTCATTACCACCATGAAGCAGGGCGTACATGGTCATTAAACGGACACGGGAGTGTGGAAGGCTGACGGCTCAAATTGGTTTTTCTATTACCGTTAGTTATTGATTCACATTTTATTTTCTATCAAATTAATGGCATTCTTACGATATCTATGCTTACCCTAATTTAATTAGCACATTTATCCGTCGTTAATTTCAACAATATGTGATTACATGCTGGCAGTAATTTGATGCCTATTTTAAGACAACATGCCTCCAATGGCCCGAGCAGAGACCATGTCCTACCGTTCAGAGTGCTTGGACGTGACCGCTTCCAGCTTCATCTTCAGAGCGGAAGAGATCTTCAGCTTGCTGATGGAGTTGGGGGCGGAGTGGTTGGCCTTGGCCGGCGGCGACTCCTTCGGCTTGCCCAGCTCCCGGTCCACTGCCAGGAGCACGTGCGAACGTTAGCTCCAGCGGCTGACGTGACGTATTTCAGGCGTGTGACGTCACAGGTGCGTGCTGATGTGTGAATCATAGGTGAGCACCAATATGTGACACAGAGGGACGTACGATAAAATAACAGTTATTCACAGCGAACATGCCCGGCATGAACCTGCGGGGAATCCCCATCGCCTCGCACGAAACAAAATCAGATTACGAAACGACGTTAGAATGCCTGTACTGTCCCGACCCCGCCACCTGACCTGGCCCGCACGCGGGTTCGACCCGGCCGACAGAGCGTACCTGGCCTGGCCGACTCGCGGGACCGACCCGGCGACAGAGCGCACCTGACCTGGCCGACTCGCGGGACCGACCCGGCCGGCAGAGCGTACCTGACTTTGCTGATTCGCGGGACTTGTTAAGCACCTCGGAGGTCGAGGCCTGCGCCGTGTCGTCGGGGCTGCCCATCTCGAACTCGTCCCACTCAACGCCCTCGAAGCTCGAGTCGTTACCCGAACGGCCGCCAGGTGGCTGAGGGTGGGCGGCGTTAGCGGCGCGGTGAGGCAAACGCGGCGCAGTAAGAACGCGGCGCGTCACAGATGCTAGGAAGTTAGGGGAAGTGCACAAGCTGCTGTAAAACTAGACTGAAAACATTCGAGAAAGAGGTGACAGTAAACGCATGCTGAAGAAGGCTTCAGGTACGCTGCGATGCTCGTTTGAGGCAAAGCAGTTATTCAAAAGTTTGTTCGTGCATTCGCTGGCTGGCAGATGTGCGGCACAAGAGGCGGTTAAAACAATGTTCCATCGATCGCATCGCATCACATGCGCGCCAGCTGAAAACAAACTATAAACGGAGCGCAATACTCACGCGCAGGGTGATCAAATATTAGACATCGTTTAAAGCAGTGGAGTATCATTTCAGTACACAAATGATCAACACGGGACGAAAACACTAGTAAGAACAGTTAGTTGGATTCCAGTGTTACATATGACAAAGCGAAGACCATTGATCCCGTATCAAGTTGGATAGATCATGCATGTTTGCCCACGGATGGGCGGCAGTCGTCAGGTTTAGAACATGCAATGGCTCTTGCAAAATTAGCATGCATGAATCAAAGCATGTTAGGCAGCTGATCGATGAGACAAAACATGAGATCCGGGAAGTGGTACATGCATGTTTGTAGGAGAGTCGTCTAGCTTCGTGATTTGCCTAAAAGACATGCAAAATGCGACAAAGGGAGTGAAATTCACGATGCAACTTGTCACATTGTGTTACGCCGTATCAAGTTCATAAAAGAAAGCAATCCACAAACGAAGGCTGCACCCACATAACGACATGGCAGGCGTATGGACGCCGAGCTCAATTTATATTGTTTTATGGGACATGCGTAGTTAAAAAACGAGGTTCTTCACAACAGCAGCTGTGCAAACGTTGCCATTGGTCATACAACAAGACAACTTGAGATCGAGTACTGACCCATCCCCTTCCGCTGCCATCCTCAAACCTCCATTTTATGTTCTGAGTTTCTAATTCGCGACAGTATGAGCGATATGCTCCGCTTGCGCGCGTGGCGTGCGGCCTATTTTCCCGTCGTTCGGTTGCGCCGGTAGCCGTCAAGGCTTCAGTTCGCAGGGGTGCCGATAGATGACTCTGACCCACCTTCTGGCCGCTGCTCATCTTGCGGTGCTGCGCCTGCAGCTTGAACTGCATGAAGTCGGCACTGCCGGCCATTTCGCCCTTGGGCGGCGGCCAGCGCCACTTGCCGATGCGCACCGTACGCGCGCGCGTGTAGGACGGGTCCATGAAGGCGGCCATCTCCTCCGGCGTCATGCCCATGGGCGGCGCCGGCGAATACCCGACTGGAGGTAGGCGGGAAGGTGCTGCCGTTAGCGCAGACGGAGCGGGACGGGGCGGGAGGTGGGGAGGCAGGGAGGCGCAAGGACTGCAGGCCTGCACGGCACAGCTGTGCAGGAAGTGCAAAGGATGCTGCCCACACATAATCCGCCCGCTTCAGCTTAAAACCAGCTCGCGATCTTGTTTTGGCAAATTCCAGAGCCGGTGCAGCTCAGTCCTCACTTAAAGAATCCCAGCATCACCCCATATAGTTGAGGAAATTACATTTCGGCCTAAACTCAGCATGAAAGTGACAAACTGGAGATGGATTGGACACATTTACGGCTTTTGAAACGGGGCGAAGAGCATTTCTAGCCATCCCAATTCATTTCAGTTTCTAAATTTATTCAACGCAATTTTAATTTCGATCCATCGTGCTTGCGGCATTCGGATATGGTCCAGTCTAGTTTTAATGATGGCATAATCCTAAACCCATAAATGTTTCCAATCTGTGAAAAGCCAGCCCGTGGCGAAGGTGCTTGGGCGGGGCGAGATGGAGAATGGAACTTGGATAGAAGGAAGATGCAGGCCCGTGATAAGCTGAGTAAGTGATGTTCGAAAAGCCTAGCAGCCACATAAATTAGGTACCAGTGAAGCATGTTGTGATCCAGAAAAACGGACTTGTCTTCAAAGGAGGCTTTGATTGCAAAGCGAGGGAATTTTTAGGGAACTGACGATATTGAAGCACGATGGTATTGCGGATTGAGGACTGCAGCAGCGTTCCGTTTTGCTGGGCGTCAAACGGATGTGCGGAAAACTTTAACCTATGTTTTGTTTAAGCTAACGGGTAAAAGTTGTGTCGTTTCCCAAGACCACAACCGTCTCACCTCGCCGAGCAAATGACTATGGCTTATCCATGAGGCGGTTAGGTCTATGCATAGATGAATAAGCATACACCACAACGACACAATCAGCAACGACAAGCGCACCAGTTAGCAGCCTTCCGTCGCCCAGTGGGCTTCCACAGCTATGGAGCAGCCAAGCGGCGACACACAACCGATGTTAGCCTGACAATTCAGTCGCAGCAGCTCCCAGCTCAGCCCCGCTCCACGGGCGGCACAGCCGGCCAGGCGGGCCGGCCGGCGGGACCGCCGCCGCCTCTGTTACCCTCTCCTGGGAGGTGGCGCTCCGACGGCGCTCCTGCTGTCCGGCCGGCGACGGCTCGCCGCTGCCGCCCTCCCGCGCTGCCGGAGACGAGCCCGGGGCCTGGCCGGGGCTGGGCTGGTAGTCCTGCGCGGGCACGGGCGGCGGCGTCAGGACACGGCGCCGCCGCTGCACTGGGCGCCGGTGAGCGAGGAGGTCGTACAAGGTGCGGCGTTGGCGCGGCGCTTTTTGTTGCAACGGTCGAACGCAGAGTGCAAGGGGATTTTTCATTCGGCTGTGAGCCAGCTGCAGATACGATGGAATGCTGGCAATGCTCGGGAGGTATTTTACGATACTTTGGTAAAGATACCTTCTACAGAAGGCTGTGGAAAGTCAGTGCACGGTTATTAAGATAGATGCTCCCTGTTACTTAGAGAGCGCAACGCTCACAACCTACAAGCCTGCCTTATCCTAAGGCCCGTCAGAACGTGCAATGAAAACGAGGTCGAAACACGGGCGCAGCTGGCTGACTGGCCAGTAACACACCTTTCCTCAAATGCGTGCACAACCGTTGCGTGGCATTTCCGTGAGTCAGGGCCAGCAGTTGTGACGAGGTGCCGTTGCACTGAATGCCGACAGTGTGCGGTACATTCGCGTTGTGCAGTCAGTGAATTGCGGCTGAGGTGACGTTAGTAATCGGTAAGAATTGTCCGATGCATTATCATGGGCGGTTAATAAGGCCAGAAACACCCATGAATGGAAAGCACCACACCATGAGAGCAGCAAGTAGCTCAGCCGTGAGCAGACGCTGTGAGGAGCTAAAGGACATGCAAGACTTCAGCCTTTAAGCTGCTTAGAAGGCTGCCAACAAGCACGGCGTACCTTTGCGCGCTTGTCATCAAACGTTTCAACTAACTGTCGCACTGGCTTTCGCAGGTCTGATAAGGATTTCGCGTGGTGATGCTGCAATTCCAGACACACGGTTAGTAGGCCGCAGGCTGAGGGCACCAGATCGCCGTTAGTAGGTATAAGCGATTACACCATAACCCAAGGCTCTTTCCGCATGAAAAGCAAAGCAAAAACTGTTGAAGGCGCGCAATACCTTTCGTTGCAAGGTGGTTATGAGCAGTAGGTTCAATACAATTTGTGACTAACCAGGCCCGAGGGGTGTGGGCATGGCCAAGAGAATTATGGCATATTCGAGCTTCACCAAAGCGGTTCTGTGTCGGCATAGCAATTATTCCCACTAGTCACAGCCACCGAGCTTCCCAATAAACAGGCACCTGCCACCCAAACGCTGACAACCTCAACCACAGGCAGTATGTTCTGACGATGCTCTGTTAGCATTTCCATCGTCGATCCAAAGGGTCCTGAAGACTTAGGGGCATGCCCGAGCTAAGTCCATTCTGTCCCCGATTCGATCCAGAGGATCGGTTATTAGCTCGGGCCGTGAAAGTCGGTTTTGCGCGTCTGAGACGTATTTTCATCGCTCGATTCGATCAGTCAAGGCCATGGCAATTGCAAATACCTGGGGTTTGAATTTTATAACACGATCGGATGTCTGAAGTTAATTTTGCTTATGGGTACAAGGATACAGATATGAAACCCTTTACAAAACGGCAATCTCACTAGTATAACAGCATTTATGGACGGCGCCGCTTCACTTGAGAGAAACATGCAACTCTACAAATGGCGCAGGCTGTCCAACCATGTTGCGGAGGCGAGTCTATAGGGTAATGGTGCGGGACCGGAAAGCAGCATAAGCCCGACCTTTTTACAGCACTACCGGCCAGACCCAAAATATTGATTTCATGAGCTTGTGATCAGCACTAAAATGCTACAGGGTCACCTGAGGAGAGAATGAGGGGAAATATGGCACCATTAGTGGGGTGATCTACCCTAGATTGTGCCCGAAAAACGCGGCCAGCTTTTCTATTTCTTCAGGGCTGTCCGAATGACCAGTTCGGTCGTGACCTGGCATGACCAGGTCACATGGCATGCCGGCACCCTGACCTGAGCAGAGGTCGCCTGCAGAAGCTGGGCCAGCGCCTGGTTCTGACTGAACAGCTGCTGCTGGATCTGCATGTTCTGAGCGACAGCAGACTGTATGAACATGCGCTGGTAGGACGCCATCTGTTGTTGATCCGGCGCATTTGAGGTTGCCGCCGAGCCGTCAGAGTTCTGACCCATGCCGGCGGGCCCATACATCGACATGTTGGGTAGACTGAAGCCTGAAAGTTGGCATTGTTTGTCACGGTTTTGGTTCTGATAGCTCACAAGAAAGTCTGAAAAATAGAACTGAAAACACTGACACTAAATTAAACACAAGGTAACGACTCATCACAATACATATGGCTGTACGTTGGTGTGGCTTTCGTGTAACTTGCCTCCTTTACTTTCGGATCAACCAATATAGAATGACTTAAGGAATGCCAGAGATCATTATAACAGCACAGGTGACAGGATTACATCCCTTACGTGTCATTCGTAGCAAAACTAATATTATTAAATGTACTAAAGAATGGTATATCAACGGCAGTGATGTGCAGCACGCTTATATTTGAAATAAAGACACAAACACGGTGAACGAAGGTTAAGACGGTCAACGCAACTCAGCACCAGGGCGAGACTTTTGTTAGGGATTTGGAAGCAGCGAACAGCAAAGCAGAATCAGCTAATGCAGATTACGAGCAGAAGCAAGTGGTAAGTGATCGCCGCCCCGCATGTTTAAGAACGTACCAGATTAATAAATAGGATGTGATAGGTCTTGTCAAGACCTGACGGAACGCAGACAGGAAGCGACATAATTTAATAGCATTCCAGGAATTAGGCGGATTTTGCAGGCTTTCCACGAAAAAACAGCCAGCACAGAAAGATGTGATCTCTGGTTTGACTAAAAATCGTCGCAACTATCTGCATGCTTATTATCATCATTAGTTGTTGTTACCACAACGTAGAGCGAAAGGTATGTTCGCCCAAGGGAGACGTGCGAATGCTCCGGATATCACGATGACCGTGTATCAGGGATGCCACCGCCATCCAGGGCATAACTCGTCAGGGCGGGCTGACATGCGCTCCCCCCGAATCTAAAACGTTGATCCGTGTTACCAAATCTACCACCCCGCCATCGTCTCGTACCCGCGCGCTCATTAGGCCATCATAGTCGCATCATCCTGTCGCGTGCATTACGCGCCGCCATTCCCGAAGCCCTCAACCGGATCCCCGCCGCGCATGCGCCATCTGCAGGCTCGGACGTGCTGGCCGCCGCGCTTGTACCCACCTGACATCCCGTACACCGGCACCGGCACGTACTGCACCTGCACCGGGGACGTGGTGCCCTCGCGACCATCCGGTGACGTCACACGCTGATCGCCGAATGATTGGTTGAGCGGCTCGGGTGACGTGGGCGCGGCAAAGAAGGGCGCTGGCAGCGTGGGACGCGGTGAGCCCGAGAGCGTGACGCGCGGTGCGTGTCGAGGCGCAGGCCAAGAACTGTGCCGTTGGCCGAGATTAAGTGTGCGGTGGGCGAGTTGTACGCCTTAAAGCTTTAGAGGCTTGTATAGTCGCGATTTTCGGCTGGGTGGGAAGATCGTCATTTCATTCCAGCCAAAGACACGGTTCTTGGCCTGTGCTTAAAGCGTGCAGGGTACAAAACGGCTACGAAGGTGAGGGTACGCAGCACGCCAAGGTGCAAAGACTGTACAGTACACTCCTACTACCAATCCTTCTAAGATCACTAACGATCAAAGCAAAGCGTGCAGTATGTTCAGAATCAGAAAGGCATGTTAATACACTAAGTCACCACTAGGTGAAGGTAGTGTAGTGTCAGCGCCATCCGCTAAACCGCCAAGCACTACCATCATACGCCGCGCAGAAATTCGCGCCGCTTCAACATGTCGCGTGTGAAGTATGCACTAGAGCCGATGCACGACTGGCACTGTGCACGATGCACGGTGCAGCGTGCAGGCCTAGACGGCCAGCGAGCGGGCCGGACAAGTAACTTGGCAGAGGTAGCGGGCGCTGGCGCCGGCAGGGACGTCTCTGAAGCTGGAGCAGCAGGAATGCGCCAGCGTTTCGCGTCAATGCAGCGGTTTTCGCGTCTGATCGCTCTAATCGTATGCCACCACGCTCTGGCCCAAGCTACTCACCCTGAGGCGAGAAGTAGGGCATGCCCCCGGGCATCATCATCGGAGGAGGCGACATCATGCCCGAGCCGGCGATTGGCTGGAACACGAACTGCCCCTGCTGCTGATTGGCTGTCGCGTTTTCGGGCTCCGCCCCACCTGCGACACCGTAGGATCACGATCAGAATGACACTAGCGAGTGGCTAAAAGGAGGCGACGCTCGAAATCACACGACGCTCCCATGAGGCCTTATACAACGTCCACTGACCAGCACGCCGTCCACACGAATACAGCGGCATACAGCATCGATGCATCACAAACCGTACATTTCGAGGACTTCTTGACTTTCCAATGGCCGCCCGACGCACAGGCGTAGAGTCTGTACCAACTGATACGAATTGCATGATGCTCCTGGCCGAAGTTTATATCATGCACACTCGTGACTAGCAACCATACGTAATTTGCCGTCTGACCTCAGCCTTCAGCTCTCTTGTTGCCAAAATGCATACAGCTGGTATATCATCGACCTTAACACAGCGCTGATGTGCTATGCCATGAGAAACACCACCCTGTGGTCAACTAGGCTCACCTTTGATGAGCTGGACCATGGCGGAGGGATCGGTGAGCGCCTCCAGCGTGGGGCTGACGGGACCACACGTGTCCTCCAGGTCCAGCTGCTGCTGGGTCACCAGCGCGCGACGCCGGATCGAGTCTTGGCGACATCTGGTGGTGACACGAGCGTCAGTTGACACGCAGTCACGGTAGACTCGTCCATCGGTCCCAATGGACTCGTCCAGACGCAGAGAAAGACATGGAAAAAGAACATAATCCGTTCGGTGCCAACCACAAAACGGGTCGATGAGACGAGTCGGGTGCTGTAGCGGAGCAATGTTCTCACCTAAAGAAATCTACTGATGAGCTCAGCTCCTCCAATTCAGATTCTGCATCGCTCACACTCCCTTCCCCAGCCGCTGTTGTGGAATCATCCGCCAGGCGCGCTTCTCCCATCAAAGTGGACTGCTCCGGCTGCCGGCCTCCCCCGCCGCCCTTGATGGAAGCGGCCAGGGAGCGGGCGTCCGACAGCTCGTCGAGGTTGCCCTCCAGCACGGGCATGAAGAGCGCATCCACGAACTGGTCCATGTCAGAGGCCTGAGACGGCACGCGCACGCGGCGCACGTGCGACGCTGCCGGGCAGGACGGGTCAAGGTCACATCGCAGCCACGGGTCCATGAATTCGTGGACAGGGTAAGCATCAGCGTGGTCCTCAGCTCGCGGATGATGCTACGGTCAGCGCAGATACTGTAAGCAACTGTTCAAGCATTCGGTCGAATGCATCCATCGCCGAAGCTATGTTACCACGACCATAATAGTACTTTTATCAACATTGGGTAAGTAAAAGCAGGAGCGTAGTTTCGCAAAATATGCTGAGGGGAGTTAAACGGTGAAAAATAAAGCAGCCTGCCCCAAAATATCTCAAACAATGACCCTCTCCCATGCACTGGCCCACTTTCTTCTCAATGTTGGTGGTGGGGGAGGGGGAGACTGAAGTCCCCAAATCTAGTAGGGAACACATCTATGTAGAAGAAGCAGTATATATCAGGTACTTATTTCGTAATCTATGTGGTCACACGCGCCTCAGACCGCTTAAAACTGTTGCATGCTCTGAAATCGGAACTCCTATAAGGGGCTCCATTCGGCAGTTTGGTGTCTCTTATATCACAGATTTATTGCAATGGACTCCACCCAACGGGAAAGTGCCTCGCACAGCACGGGGGAGTGCCTCGCAATGGACTGACCCAGCGGGGGAGTGACTCGCAATGGACTAACCCAACGACGGTGCCTCGCTGGTGTCGGACATGGCTGAGCTGCGCACGCCGTACTCCTTCTCAGAGGTGTGGCGACTCTCGATGTACGCTCGTGACGAGAAGCTGCTCTGACCGGTCCTCTTGCCCGCGTTCTGCGACTTGACGTATCTGAAATCGGACACGATCAGAACACCGTCGCTTGAAATCGTTCTAGAAATCACGGCGATTGGTAATCTGTATGTCAAACGTACTGTTGGAGACCATGTCTCATATGTCAAACGTACTGTTGGAGACCAGAAATCATTGCTGAAAAGTGACGTCTCTGCATGCACACAATGGTGGCTGAGGCTTGGTAGCAGTCATGCACGGTACAAATGAAAGCACGTCAAAAGCCAGAGCTCAATGACTGTGAAAAAGCAACGCTTGAAAAAGGGAGACAGTTTTGGAAGGCTTTTCGTCATGCTAACAAGCACCTATGAATGGTGGAGGCCATTTGACGTCGCTGAAAACCCATGTCATTTCCTTCCTTTAAGAGTATGAATAAAGATAAGCAAACAGTAGCCAGTTCGGCATCAGTACCTGTTCGCAGGCGATGCAATACCTGACAGTGCTGCCTGAGCGCCAGTCATATGCCTCACGCTGCGTAAATGGCGTAAGAATTGTTCTGAGCGGTGTGCCAGGGTTGATAATGCCACAGAACCATTATTGCGTTGCAGGGCAGTTTCGTATCATTTCTCCCGTTCCACGCCGTGTCTGATCATCATTCCTGAACAGAGGCTTTAACTGCCTGCTGGACCGCCCGATGCCCCGATGGTCCGATGGTCTCCATCGCCCGATGGACCGATGGAACCGGCCGGACCGATGGTCTGTACCTGGAGCCAGTTCTGGGCGACATGGCCGGGTCTCCCTCGTCGCCAAAGGAGTGTGCGTCCTCCATCGCACCGAAGGAGTCGGGACCGTCCACGGGGTCACCGAACTCGTCCGTCCTGACCACCCACCAATACCGGTACGCTTATGCACATGCAACAATAACACTGGCACAGGCACCGTGTGAAACCCTTGCCGTCGTTCTACGACCAAAAGAAGACAGAACATGGAAGGGAAGGACGCATTCGCGCATGCGCTCTTTGAGTACACCTTCGCCAACAAACACCATAGTTCATGGCTTGGCTCTTAAGGAATTTGATAGCACCAGGACCGGATATTTGGCCTACTTGTCGCATCACCAATGAATGTAAGTAAACCAGGCTGATTTGACGGTTGGAGTCGAGTGCTAAATCGTGGTACGCTTGTTACGCCAATACCTCCCCGGCTTCTTGCCTAAGCGAAAAACATCTCATTACTTTCGTCAACGTTTGAAAGGTGCTTTGTCTTATCGAACAAGGCAAGAGCTTCGGGTGCATGATAACCGTTGTGTGCTTAACAAGGCCAAAAACACGTCTCTCCTTCACCCTCTGTACCGCTGCCGAATAACCAAGCAGTTGTGGTGACCTAAAACCCCAGTCAACAACCACGCCCTATGAAGTGCACAAATTACATAACTTGGCTAACTAGTTGCATTCACGAGAGTAGTTCTAAGTGAACAACATCAAGCATGCCGGCCAAATACAACCTCGACCATGCGCTTACCTCATTCAGCGTGTCCCCTAACCACTGACTATGTGCAACAAGTACATGGACATGACGCGAAATGCTCCGTGGATGAAACGCGAGATCGACGTGTGCAGAGATTGTCGGACTGACAAACACGCACACGCACACAGGCAGGCAACCAGAGCGCCATCCAGACCTGTTGTACGCCTCGTGTTTCCTGTAGCTGTTGTTGGTGTCTGCGGAGTAGCGACGGTCCTTTTTCAGCTTCTTCTCGAACTTCTCTTCCGATCTGATGACGTCATGGCCAGCTGGCGACGGCACCATCTTGGTTCCCTTCGGGACGAAGTATCTGTCCAAAAAGCAGCATGACAATTTCTGCTGCAGAATATAAAGGACAACAGAAAAAACAGATAATGTTTCGAACACCGACACGCATGGTATTTCGCCCTGCACGTCCGGGATGGCGAGAATGTGAATGGTACCAACTCACAACGTAAGTCTTTGTATGACGGCTGTTGAGAATGAACAAGCACATGAAAATACATGAACATAATCATGAGGACAGCAGACGTGGGAACGACTGGAGCAGCCTGGATGGAACCTTTTGTATGACAGAGCTCAGGCGTGCACACATTTTTAAGGCCTGACGAGGCAACATTTAGTACCGCGTTAATAGCATCCTCGCTGCGTGATGGGTGCCCCACAACATTGGTATCCTGGCGCCAAGTTGCAGATTCCGTGTGTGGCGTCGATAAAACTTTAAAACAAGGCGCACACTGACGCGTTTGACAAGTCTTCTGGTAGCGCCCAACATGCAGCGACGAGGTGCCAAAATCGCCTCCGCAATAGTTGCCATGGAGACCAAAATATCGTCGTCAATGTCCCGAAAGGGTCCAGAATCAGCGGAAACTCCAATCTCTTCGCGAATCGCGCGCCGAAGTGACAAAAACCCTCCGAAAGCAAGTTGACTGAGAGGGCGGCGGTCGCGGTGCAGCACGGCGCCGCGTCACGCACCTGTCATTTAGGGCGCTCTCACTGAGGCCGTGTTTGTTCCAGCCGGCAGCGGCCGCCGGGTCCGCGATGACGTCCGCCGAGTGGTAGCGCTCGTTGAGGCGCGACGCCGAGAGGCCGAGGTGCTCAGGCCGGGTGTGCTGCGCGCTCCGGGAGCGCTCACCCTGAAGGGGGGGGGGGGGTCAGCGCTAGGAGGAGAGGGGCGGTCGGTGTTGGCGTCGAGGCGGCATCGAAGCGGCATCGAAGCGGTATCAAGGCGGCGTCGAAGCGGTATCGAGGTGGGTATCGAGGTGCCGTTGCGATAGCATCGAGCCGACATCGAGGCGGTGTCGAGGCCTCAAGGCGGTATCGCGGCGATTTCGAGCCGGCATCGAGGCGATGTCGAGGCGGTATCGAGGCGGTATCGAGGAGGTATCAAAGCGGTATCGAGGTGGCATCGAGGCGGCATAGAGGCGGTATCGAAACTGCATCGAGGCGAGGCCGGCACGCCGACGCCGGCGTCGCGGACGATTCTGACTTTGAGCAAGGTGCCGGATATGCAGCGAGTTCTGCTTGGCAGAGCCGAACTCCCCCCCCCCTCAACTTTCTTGCCGAGCGTAGTACAGACCTATAAGCATCATATAGGTCGAACATGCGTATCACTCAACCGCTATGAGTGGATGGCAAACAACGGAAGTCTAATCGGCGCCGGTTCACTTGCTCTTACGAGCGTGTTTTGGCCCTTACGTCATCCAGGAGGTTGTCAAGGCTGCGGCTCTTGTTACGCCCATTGCTGACGTCATCGGTGTATGGACCACTGTGCGCTGAGGTCCGCCTTTGCTCCTCCCTCAGCTGCTGACGTAATGGCTGCAGGAACCAATCGCGTTTTTGAAGCTCACTGTTCGTCCACTCAGGAGCTTTTCGATAGAAAATGGTAACGAAATTTTGTATGCTTGCATGCATGCTTTGTTGATTGTTAAGATGTTAAATGTTGTTCGCAGTTAGCTTCAAGAGTGAAACGTTAAGTTCAAGGAAGCTATCAAGTTAATAAGCTTCTGTTGTCTTGGACGCGATATGAGAAGACAGGAACATTAAGGCAGAAAAGAGAAAGCGGTGTTAAGAAAACAGAAGACGGTATACCTTTGCGTATAACTGACTCATGCTATGAAGGGACTCTTTTCTGGGCGGAGGAGGCGAAGGCGGAACATCCATTGTTTCCATCCGCTGGAGAAGGCAATGTCAGCGTTAGTGTACTCGTGCTGTCTGGAGAAAGCTGTGCTGGTGCCGCTCCAGAGTAAGCTGTATTGTTATGCCGACGTAGTTGGCAGCTCTCGTTCGCAGCTCATCACGTGGTAACAGTCATGGTAAGGCAAGTCATCGACCTCCTGAAGCGTGCAGACTGCCTGGTATGTCAGAGGCCGTGACATGCGAGTTGTAAGCTCCCAGGCGACAGATGTCTTCGTGAAAAAACATGATTGGGACTTTGCTGTTACCTTTCCTAATGCACACGCAATAATGAAAACTAGAGACGTCACCAAACCACCTGACGCACAAAACATTAAATACAATCCGATTAATTGCTTTCAGGTTATGGCCACCCGCCGTTTTCCGCGTAACGCACGATCAGAGTACGGCCTTCATAAACTATACATGGGCTGCTTCAAAACAAAGTTACGTATAATGGTAATGCAAAATAGTTGAAACGAGTTCGCATAATTTCAACCTGCGAACACATACTAGCTTCAGCTTAAAGCGACTTTATCGGAAATTGTGTCCACTTCGTATCCAGTTATCATTCCTGGATGTGGGAGGGGAGGGGGGGGGGGGGGATATGGCGACGTCTCCGACGTAGTCTCATATCTGCGACAAGCAAAATCGGCATGTATCATCCTTTTCAAATTGCTTGTACTAAGACTGTGCTCTTCGGCGTTGCTGTACATTGGTGCAAGACATGCGAATGTGACTGGGTTTCATGTAAGCATTACGTAGTCATTATATATACATACATATATACATATATATATATATATATATATATATATATATATATATATGTATGTATGTATGTATGTATGTATATATAGCCCATGTCCACCATAAAAGGGTACGTGTTCATGAAAATCACAAACAAGCAGCAATTATTTGGAGTTGTTGGACTTGGTGTTAAAATATCCATGTCACACATTTTCATTAACCTATCTATGAACTATACCTTAAGCTATCGGTAGGTTCCTGGAAGTGACCTGAAAACAAATCTAGCTGAGCGCAACAACAAAAACCACAAATGTAAACATCAAGGAGCGCGCTGCTAGAACACGGAGCCGCCAACGTCAAGCACTGACCTGGTAGCTGATACGACCTCCTGGCGACCTCTGTGGCGACCCGTTCCTGGGCGCATCGATGAAGTCTTGCGACATCATCGGGGTGACCTGCCCGGACGAGACAGGCGATGACTGCCTGACGTGCCAGCCCGCCGGGCGGTTTGGTTTGTCGGGCCGGGTTCAAGGTCAGCAGCCCTCGGCTGACCTGACCTGACCCTCGCGCCGGAGCCGGCCCGCCCGGCCCCCGCTCAGCCCGCTCCTGTCCTGCCGAGCCCCACCAGTCTCGCGTCTTTTGCAACTGTCCTCTCGTCTTATGCATGCTCTCGTCTCCCGGTAAGCTTAATGTCGTTCATTCATCCATTCCCAGCCCCCCGCCACTGCCTGCGGCAGAGCCAGCTGCACATCTGTGGAGTCACCCGTGGCACTGACTCATTCTCTCCCCCTCCCCCCTCCCCTGAAGCCGCCCGTGGCAACGCCGTACCCACCTTCCTGGAGCCGCCCCTGGTGCGCTCGCTGACCATGAAGCCGCCGCGGCCGGCCGGGAAGCCGGGAGGCAGCTCGGTTTCGCCGATGACGTCCATGACGTAGTCGTTGCCGCTCAGCTCGTAGAGGTCACCCTCGTCCGTCATCTGCGCCGTCCAGCCGAACGTGCTGCCGATCCCGCGGTCTGCGACGGGCCATAAGGTCATGGAGAGGTCACGGGGTCATATGGTCTCCTCAGTCAAACGTGCTGCCGATGCCGGGTTTGCGACGGGACACATGGTCATGGGGAGGTCACGGGGTCAAATGGGCTCTTCAGTCGAACGTGCTGCCGATGCTGCTGTCTGCGACGGGCCACATGGTCATTGAGAGGTCACGGGGTCACATGGGCTCCCTAGTCGATCGTCGGCCAAGGATGCGGCCTGTGACAGGGCGGCAAGATCTCAGGAAAGGTCGCAGGATCACCTGTGCCGTTCAGCTAAATGTTTGTGTGTTTGGTTTATGTACTTTCAAAATGCGATAAGCAGCACGATAAGATTAAGATAAGCCAAAGGATGGGTGGAATCAGTAACAGAACTTAAATCACGGCGCTTCTCCCAAGAGAAGCAACAAAACAGAATACATATACCGGATATGGGACTTCATTAACGTGTTGCCGTTGTCGCGGTCTGTGGCGAGATCACAAGGTCACTGAAAGGTCATGAGGTCGTGTTGGCTCCCTATCCAAGTGTGCGGCCGATGTCGTAGCCTACGGGTCGTAGCCGTAGCCTATCACAAGATCATGAAGAGGTCAGGAGGTGATACGGGCTCCCCAGTCGAGCGCGCTGCGAACTACGCGGTCCGTGGCGGGTCACAGGATCATGGAGAGGTCGTAAGGTCATCTAAGCCGTGCAGCCGAACGTTCTGTTAATCAGCCGTCCGTGGCGAGATCGCAATGCCATGTAGAGATCATGAGATCATGTAGCCTTTCCATTCGAATGTCATGTAGATTCAGTGGTCGGCGGGAGGGTTTGAAGGTCAAAGGGGTCACGAGATCAGCTGGGCCGTCTAACCAAACATGCTACCAGTGCCACTTCTGTGGCAGCTGTGGCAGCATCACGAGGTCATGACAATGTCACGGTACGGCATCACGAGGCCATGACAATGGCACGGGATCGACGGTCCGTCCTCCGAGGACTCACTCTCGAGGACGTAGGCGGCCAGCTCCTCGCCGGTGGTCCAGGAGTCGACCGGGGCGAAGCAGGTGTGGCCGTCCGAGCACGAGACCTCCAGCGCCATCTGCTGCTTCTTACGGTTACACCTGTCGCCGAGCGCACCAGGTCAGCGGCAGGGCCAGATTCTAGGTCAGGGTCTGAACCAGGGTCAGGCCGCATGCCGGGTCAGGGTCTGCGCCAACATAGGGATCTGTGCCAGCGTCAGGGTCAGTGCATGTGTCAGTTCTGTTTCAGAGTCAGTTTCAGGGTACGGGTCAGGTCAAACACAGGTGAGGGTCAGGTTAATATTAGGTTGTCAGCCTCACAAACGAAAGAAACGCACGAATCATTTTAGAACGTGCTGATAATGCACGAAGCAGCCTGGGCCATATTTTTCCCTGATTTCTGGCTGTCTCCGCGAAAATGATGTGACTAACAGATGACCGGAAACGTTACGCCATTCCAAAGGGCAAAAGAGAATCAGTGCATGACCGCAGAAACGGGCGGAAGAAAGAGGATGTGACACTGATCATGACCTCCTCATTCACATTGCTTCTGTGAACGTCACAAAACATGGAATTAAATGGCAATGGAAATGGAAAATGGCTGGCCGGGCGAAATGGATTATATAGAGATGTGTGCTATAAAATGATTATCTCCACTAATTGATCGCATTACATTAATTGAAATAATAAATTAAGCTTAAAACAAATGTATCTCATCATCGGTTACCAAAAACATAATCTAGTACCAAAATTAGCCTTGTAACCAACGATGGGAAGCCCCCACGGAAAGACAACACATACACACGCTCTAGTCAGCCCATTGCTCGTTATGAAGCTGCACCACTCGCTGACCTCCACTCGAGCAGTGTGGGCGGGTAGACCCGGCTCAGTCTGCCATCTGGCGGTGACCGGAGCAACTTCTTCTGGCAGTCGGCCGCGTACCCATTCTGACCGTGGTCCGACACGTACCTGAGAGCGGCAGATAGTGTTGTTACAAGGGGAAAATTGATTAGTTGATAAAATGATAAAATGCGATACGATGTTTAAAAAAACAATATCTGGATCACGCAGACGAGTAGTACCGTTGCTGGAATTCGCATGAAATTATACTTGAGTCGAACCTGAAAACTATACGAACTGCGTCAACCAATTTCAGCCGATCAAACCGGACGCGGGCATTCGGAACAAAACGCATTCGTAAACCAATCTTACTTTTAGCAGAGGAACTCACAAACGAGACATCCATTTCAAGCATCAGTCGCATTTCGTTTTCCAACAACTGGATGGCCCTAATATCGTCATTGCGACTAATCAGCGACTTCTAGCGCCCTCCCCCCCCCCCCCCCCCCCCCGAGCCCCCAACACGCCGACCGTGAATGCCTCCGAGGAGAGGCGTGTGCTGAGGGAAGGGTAGGAGTGGAGGTGGGGGGAAAGGGTGCACTCGCCACTCACTTGAGCAGGTACTTGTAGAGCGTGTCGCTGGGCGGGAACACGGACAGGCAGTTGGACATGAGCAGCCAGCCTCGCTCGGCGTTTGCTTCGTTGTCGTTCTTCCACGTCTGGTTGCACAGCTGGCACAGGATCTCGTCGCGCAGCTTCTCATTGGTCAGACCCTGCCGAGGCGTCATGGAGAGGTCATGAGGTCATGCGGGCTCCTTGGCCGAATGTGCCGTCGATGACGTGGTTCGAGGTGAGGCTCGAAGAAAAAAACAAGAAGGCTCAGGCAGGCATCGACACTAACGGATACGTACCCTGCCGAGGCGGCGCCGCGTCCGATGAGCAACGGAAGGTCGCAAGGTCAATGAGAAGGTCATAGGGCCATGCGGGCTCTCCAGCCGAACGTGCCGCTAATGGCGTGGTCCACGGTGGAACTCGAAGAAAAAAACACGAAGGCTCAGGCAGACATTGACACTGGCGGCTGCGTACCTAAGTGGAACCCAATGGTACGTATGTGTACTGAGAGGGTCATGTACTTTGTTGTGATGTTTTGTACCCGAGCGCAGCTCGTCCAATGGTTGCGCAGGATCGATGTAATGTGACGTTATGTGGTGACACCCCAGACATGGTATGCGGCGCGTTTGTACAGTGACCGAAGATAGGGCTCAGCTGGTTGGCATTTCTAACCGCAGGTAACGCGTGGAAGGTCAGCGTTTCGCGGACAAAGAAGCGTGAAGCCACCCTTCAGTACTCTCAAACTTGAGAACCTCAACCTCTTTCGTTCTCTACCATCTCTCATCTAACACAGTCTAAAATCCAAGTCTTTGCCGAGTTGCATGGGTACATACGGCATCATCTCGGTTCCCCCTTCCCCTCTCGTCCTGCCGCTCACCTTGTTGACGATGTAGTCCCCCAGCGCCTTCTCGCGCGTGTCACTCAGGTTGTTGTCGTTCATGAAGCGCAGCACCAGCTTGAAGATGGCCAGCGACTGCTGGTAGTCGGCCTCCTTGGACTTAGCCAGGAAAGGCGTGCGTATCGGCTCCCTCTTCATGCCCCAGAGATGAGCCTGACGCAGCGGAGGTCACGGGTGTTGTCAGGGTTGCCATGGTGATGACGCCCCGAATTGGGTGCGACGACCCGCAGTTATTAAGAGAATTAGACGCCAATCCAAATCAACGACCGACAATCAGAGTATAATGGGCAACTTGTAATGCATCGCCAGGAGTGAGACGATATACCGGCATGACTGACGCATCACATTGAGAAACAGCCACATCTTTTACCGTTATTCCTTGTACACATGATGCGAAACATGAACCCCAAGATGTGCAATATTCGAATGGTGATTATTTGTATCGGTGTTTGCAGTGAAATACGCGGTAGTATAAGACATGTGGATCACATCGGGTGGAAGTATAAGACATATGGATCGTCGGTGCACGCACGTATTTAAGAGTGGTAGTTCAGTGACATCCATACATCATATTAAAACTACACCACAACGCAAAGCCAGACCCAGACTTCGGAACATCAAACTCCGGCATGCAAGCAAAAACCATTCGAAAATAAGCCGAGAACGAGCCAGTGAAGACCCATGGGCGTCCCGCGGCTCACACCATACCACCAGGCGTCTTGGCTACGGCCTCACCTTGAAGTAGATGTTGGTGAACTTGGTGAAGGCGTGGTAGTCGATGTCGTGTGGGAGGCTGAAGCGCTCCTCGGGCGGGTCAACCTGGGCGCCGATCTTCATCAGGTTGCGGTCCGAGTGGGCAGGGTGCCAGTCTGCCGGCGGGCCAGTCACGGGATCACGAGGTCAGACCCCAGTCGGACCACAGTGGTCGCACTCCTGCTGACATCAGCGGCTGACTCCGACAGTGACACGTGTGTGCGGCACGGGACGCGCCAGCAAAGTGCCGACTATACTGCCCCGCGGCCGCCCGTATGCTTGTTCTGGGGTGGGGATCGATGAGGGGGCGGTGACCCCGCAGCCGGAGGGGTGCGAGGAAACGGCATCTGCTCCTGCCAACGGCGTGTATGTACATAGGGGCACTTGATGGCTTGTTATTTGGTTAATTTGATGACGCGGCCTGTTGAATGTAAGCGGAATGCGGTCTCCTCGACTAGTGTCTCGTTCCTGGCGTTCGTCCGAGAGAGAGAGAGAGAGAGAGAGAGAGAGAGAGAGAGAGAGAGAGAGAGAGAGAGAGAGAGAGAGAGAGAGAGAGAGAGAGACCTGAGCTAAGGTACGTAGCCCTGACTATGGGTTCGAAAGCCGGTACTGTAATCTGGAAGTCCGAACACCGGAGACCGAAGCCAGGCGTGGGACCCGGACGCTGGACCTTGGGGTCACAAACTCCCCGGGTCCAGTGTTCGGAGTCCAGACTTCAGAGTCCAGAGTCCATATTCCAGAGCCCAGAGCCCAGGCTCAGGGCCCAGGTCCAGGGTCCACGGTCCAGGGTCCAGGGTCCACGGTCCACGGTCCAGGTCCAGGGTCCACGGTCCACGGTCCAGGTCCAGGTCCAGGTCCAGGGTCCACGGTCCACGTCCAGGGTCCTCCACGGTCCAGGTCCAGGTCAGGGTCCAGCCAGGTCCAGGGTCCACGGTCCAGGGTCCAGACGGTCAGGGAGTCACGGTAGGGTCCAGGGTCAGAATCAGAGCAGTCGAGAATCGGGAGTCGAGAATCGAGGATCCAGAGTCCAGAGTCCAGAGTCCAGAGTCCAGAATCCAGAGTCCAGAATCGGCCTGCCGGCACTGACCGTCGAGCCGGCTGAAGATGAAGGCGAGCTCGGCCGGGATTTCCAGGTGGTTGACGCCAGCCACGGCCCGTGACGGGCCCCTCTCGCCGCCTGGCCGGTCTGCAGACGTCTTGGCGCGCGCGCGCGCCGCCCGCTCGGCCGCCACGCGTCGCTTCATCTCGCCCTGGAGTGGCGCGCCAAGGGCGGTCAGTACTCACCGCAGACACAGGGCGGGCAACTTAGTTTAAGAAGGTGAACCCCCTGTCGAGGTGTTGCGATTTTCACGCCGACTTTACTGCTGTAAAAATTAAGTCATATAGCCTAGATAGTAGGAAGAATGTTCATGTTCTAGACCTCACACTACCTGAAAACATGACTGAAAATGTCGCATGACTAAAAATTAAGCCATGGGACCTAGATAGCGGAAAGAATGTCCATGTCTTAGGCCTCACACTGCCTAAGAGACATTATGAAAAGTGTTTCATGATTAAGAATTAAGTCATGTGACCTAGATAGAGGAAAGAATGGCCATGTTCTATGCCTCACACCACCCAACGGGAACGGCTAGGCCTTAGGAAAGCTAACGCGTCAGGCAGGCCCAACATGCGTTGGTCACGATGCAAACGTCGATCACGTCTGCATCGTGATCGTGATCATCGCCTCACGTCGCATTTCCTCCGTCGACCTTAGCTTCCTGAGCTCTGGGCCACCGCACGGCTCCAACAGGCCCCGGAGCTCGTACCTTCATCTCGCCGAAGCGCCTTCGCTGCCGCTGCATGCGGAAGTTGGCCTGCGCCTTGACCATGCCGGCTCGAACGGTGCGGTACCGCTTGCGGTCCCGGTACATGCGGTAGTAGCTCTGTACCTTCACTGCTGACTGGCGCGTATTCCGGTACCGCTTCTCGGCCAGGTACCGGCGAACCTGGCGCCGGGTACAGGTATCACGTTAGAGCACTTGTGGGCTGGTGTGCCGCCATCGTGCCAGGCGCGGCGGCAGAAATAATGCGTGGGATCATGTCGGCAATGGCATAGATAAGCAGGCATCCTAAATATCTTGCAATTCCCAGCAGCATTTCGCATTAAGACACAAACACTCTTTCCAAGTAGCGACGCTCTACGGTGCCCCCTAAGCATGCGTGCTAAACGTCAAAATTCTTGGCTTCTTGTGTGTTTGATGTCCAGCACTTTGACAGACACAGGCATGGCATCGAATCGCAGTTGACTTAATGCTGATATGAGATATCTATGAAATAACTAATTCATTTCTTGAGCTCCCCAGCTTTTAAGTTCTCGGTGAACGCAAACCGGCCCGTGCCGGCCCGCCTCACGTACGTTCTTCTGTATTTTGATGGCGGCGTCTCCCTGCACACGCAGTCGCCGGCGCTCCAGAAGCTGTTCGAAGCCCTCGCGCAGGAACACCTTGGTGGTGCCCAGCTGGTACTCCTCGCGTGACTCCGGGTTGCTCTCCAGTATCATCTGCAGGGCGCGTCGAACAGGTCAGTCTCCGGTGTGGACGGGTGTCCCACGCCCACCGCTGAACTGCATTGCATGGGGGGGGGGGGGGCGAGGAACATCGGTCATAAGTACGAACGTTGATTTCGTGGGAGAATTTTTTTCACATGACCTCAAATCAGTCTGCAATATTGAAGGTACCTTCCTCTGTTCTTTGGCTCGGTTTCTGTTGAGGGCATAGGTGTGTTCCGCAATATATGTTCTGTCAGCCAGACCCCAAACCCCGGTTCCTTTAAAGCCCCGCTCACCTCCCCCTCACTCCTCCCCGTCTACTCACCCTGGTCACGTCCCTGACCGGCGTGCCCCGCGATAGTCTTCGGTTCCTATAAGGCCCCCTCCCCCTCCCTCCTCCCCGTCCACTCACCCTGGCCACGTCCCTGGCGGGCGTGCCCCGCGGCAGTCGCTCGGGAAGCAGGCCGCGGTACCGGTCGGCGAACTGGGCGAAGCGCAGCCGCACCGGGTAGCCCAGCTGGCGGATCCGGATGGTGTCCAGCATGCCGGTGTACCGCAGCTGCTCCAGCACCACCGGCATGTCGAACTTCATCGCCGCCTTCTCCGCATTCGGCTTGACGCAGCGGATGAACCACGGGTTGCACCTGGAGACGATGGTCGTCGTGACGACGATGGCCAGGATGGTGACGACAGTGATGCGGGGATGTGACTGAGCCGGGCGGATGATGAGCAAGGATGACCAGCGAAGGGCCGTTGGAGGACGTCGGTGGAAAAAAAGCGATGAAACGTGAAAGGCTGCAGTTGGAGACTTTAGACGAAACGCAAGTTTGTGGTGAAGGAATGATATGAAACATGACACTAGCGATCCATTCTCGTGCATATCAATAAGAATCTGTGTCCTCATTTGGCGGTGAATAGCCAACGCAGGTCACACAGAACAGTGCATATCCAAGCAAAACTCAACGAATACCTCAGGATGACCTGCAGGCTCACTTCATCAGCTATCACATGTCTGACTACTTCGCTGACTTCAGTCATACACTCACTTAGTCATCGACTCCAGCAACTGCGTGAGGCTTTCGTGGAAGCGGGCGGCTACGGTGGGCGTCCGCGGCTTCATCGTGACGAACCGGCCATTGCTCTTGTTGGCCGCCTTCGCCGCCTCGTTGTGGGCTCGGTGCTCCACAAACATCTCCGAGATCATCTAGGAGAGGGTCAGGTCAGGTACAGTCAGTCTGAGTTCAGACCTTTAGGCTGATGTTATTTTGGGATCAGTGGGATCAGTGGGATCGTTGGGAGAACGCAACTAAGATGGTTTGCCCAAACGGAGCGATCAAAAATAAGACAGCCGGTAAAAGGCAACGCAACACAAGTTTTCTGTGAACCGTCACTGAGCACTAGAACCGTTGATGCGCACCTTTCGTTGGTAAATGCTCGACCATTCGCAACCCAGCTGGGGCTGGATCTGCTGGAGCAGCTCCAGCAGCTGGAGCTGACCTCACGGCTGATTTTCCAGCGCAGGGGGACGGGCGAATCAGGGGGACAAGGAGCAACTTCCCCTTCTCCCTACAGAAAATCTTACCATTAATCCCCTGGAGTTGAACAACACGAAATGACTTTGACCCGACTATACCACCTCAACTCTAGGGGCGTCTTGCCGCCCCTGCCACGACGCGTCGCGTGAAGGGGTAGGCATCCTTCTCACCGGCACGTCGCTGCTGACTAGTAGGTCCAGCACGTCGTTCCTCAGGATGTCGCGGTTCTTGTCGAGGAAGCCGTCCACGTTGTACCAGACTTGGCCGGCGTAGTGGTGGACGCCGAACTCCATCGACGACATGCGTGGCCTGGCGGGTCACAGAGGTCAGGTCAGGGTCAGGAGCTGAAGGCCAGCAGAGAACGCTCGTGTTTTTGGTCATGTGGCATATGAGCAACATTGTTTACAGCAGCGTTTCGCAAGTTTCCTTACTTTGCCGAGCCATCAACTGCTTCCGCTATGTTCTGGCAGTTCGATTCATGCTGTGAATAGCGCCGACTGCCTTGGATTAAAAGTGATACATGCCAGCGTCCAGAGTCCTATATATAGTTCAGAGTCCTAATAAGTCCAGGTTTGACTCATTCACTATCAACCGACTGTGTGGTATCAGTACCGGCTGTAGAGCTCGTCGAGCGCGTGGTTGTAGTGGAGCTTCTCCAGCAGCGAGACGTCCGTGGCCTTGGGGAAGTTGGACTCGTCGTCCAGCAGGTGGAAGATGCCGACCGGCTTCTTGCTGATGAGGTGCAGGACAGGCCAGTTGTCCTGGAAACGGACGGTGTCTGTGTTAGACAACACGTCCCGCTGGTGTCTGGAGCTCAGATCTCACCCAGTGAGCCAATATCCCGGCGCTGGCAGCTGGCGCGAAGTGGCGTAGTGTGGAAAGACATGCAAGGATATCGGCTGATGGCGCTGGAGAGACGCTGGACGAGCTGGTGAAGCCTCTCGGCAGCACTGGGCGAGCTGGTGGGGCCTTACAGCAGCACTGGACGCCTACTGGTTGCTAGGCGATGCCAGTGTTGAACCCGACATGCCTTTTTCGAACGTTTTTTCTGATGGTCATGGATTAGAGGTACGGAGTGGTAAAAACGTCCTTAGGGAAGTACGCCAGCGACACCTTCAGCATCTTCGGGCAATCGGCGCCGCAGTCCGTCATGACGATTAACACGGGGAACGAAAAACTCAGGACCATGGTAAGGATCAAACCCAGGACCTCTCGCACATGGTCGTGTGTAAACGCCCTACCAGCTTATATACGCCGTCCACCATTTTAATTGTTAATATTGGAATCCCACCACATATACCAAAAGGTTGTGGGGGCAGGTTCGGAATGAATGAGTTATCTATCCTTTGGCACGCACATATCAACGAACAGATCACACTGTGACTCGAGAAGGCAAGTCAATGACCTGACCGCGGTGGTAGCGAGCCGTACCTGGAAAGCGATGCTCTGCCACTCGATCTTCTCCTTCAGGTACTCCTGCTGCTCCAGCTTGAAGATGTGCTTGCTGAAGTGGTACTGCAGGGTCTCGTTTGCGTAGTTGATGCAGAGCTGCTCCAGGCTGTTCTCCTGTGGAAGGATGTAAGGCGTTGCAATTTGTATAGGCTAGCTCCAAATAAATAAATTATATGTGTTGCTCGAAATGGATACATCACAACAGACTAGCTTGCACACTATGCTAGATCCCCCAAACCAGCACAATTCAATGAGAGGAAAAGAAAAACGTTACAGTGACGGCAAGCGCCTCTCGCCTTCCAACACATAGAAAGTCAGTTACAGCAATTATATATGTTCAATAATAGTTAAATAATCAAAAAATATAATGTTCAATTATAGAACAGCAGTCAATACAGGGCTCGCACCCTACAGCGTGTCCTGCTAAGTATTCGGGTCAGGTGCGAACTGCCTTCTTGCTGCGCGCTGATTACTCTGTAGCTGGCTGGGTCCGTGCTACTTACTTTGAGCCGAGTTTTTGACAGTTCAGACCGCATGCTATCTCTTATTTAAAGCTTGACATATATTGCATCACAATTCTTAATCTAAAATCTTCACGCTGGATCTAGGGTTGACTCGAAGTGGCATGTTTACATGATTTAGGGCACAAAGATTTAAATAAGCCTTGTGAAACCGTGATGTGCATGACTTCATGAAGCTCTATCATGCCGCACAATAATCAGCGGCACTCGCTGAACCGCGAACAGCACTGAAACTGACCTTGAAATCCTCGAAGCCGAAGATGTCCAAGATGCTGATGCTCATCTTCCTTGAACCCTTGTACACGATCTGGTTGATTCTGCGCACCAGCCAGCTGAAGAGGCTGCTGTAGAGCACCTTGGAGATGGCGTCTCGGGCGTCCAGGGCCTGGTCGATGTTTAGTGGCGTAACCACCCGCTCGTTCCGGGCCTCCTGTGTGTCAGAGGTCATCTCAGGTCAAGTCAGAGATCCCATCAGACCATCTCAGAGGTCACACCAGGCCAGCTCAGGTCACATCGGATCAGACCAGACGTCACCTCAGGGCAGGTCACAGGCCACTTTCGGTCAGGCCCGAGCCCCCTCAGATGTGGTCAGAGGTCGCATCAGACCAGCTCAAAGTCACATCAGACCAGCTCAAAAGTCACATCAGACCAGCTCAAAAGTCACATCAGACCAGCTCAGTCACCTAAAGCCAGACCGATTCCACTCGGTCCTGACGCATCACACATACACACTCCCCTCTCCTGGAAGCATCCTAAGACACACTTAGATGACCTTAACTTAGACAACCCCAGATTGAGCCTGATCGTCGCCGAGATACCTCCCATCCCAGCTCCGGCCCCGACTCTGAGCCGCGCCGACGCCCGAAGGCGGCGACGGGGAGTCCAACTGACCGTGGTCTTTGTCATGAGGGCGCGGCGCACCCAGTCGGTCTCGATGCCGAGCAAGTGACCCAGCCAGCGGACCTCGGCGTCCGAGCCGATCTCGACGCCCTCCTGGCCGTGCTTCAACGGCGCCCGGTGGAAGTAGATGTTGCCCAGGTGCAGCACTGCCGACGGCAGGGGAACGTCAGCCTCCACACACCGCGGCCTGGGGCTGATGTCGGGTGCGGTATACCGCGGACAGGGGCTGAGGTCGGGCAGGGACCGCGGGCAGGGACCGGGATCAGCTTAGGTACACCTTATCCAGGGGTGTTAATGGACCTCACCCTCTCTTCGGGTGGTTTTGCCGAAGACACCTCACCTGAGGCAAGGATCTTGAAGATGTTGTCCTGCTCGTCGGACGAGAAGCCGAGCACCTGCATGGCCGACAGCAGGGCCTGGAAGTCTTCCTTGTCGTACTTGCCGTCGATTTCCACACTGCCGCCCTGTATGGCGGTGGAACGTGTTAAACCTCACGAACTTGGTCGAGGCTGAATGTGACGCCATTGGTGTCATGGTCCAGAGGCCAGCTCTTCCTTGGTAAGGTACCAGGCTCAAGTAGGTATCTGTGACGTCACAGATAGCGACGTGGTACGAGAACGCCCGCACGTTCAAAGCACAGGGCCTAATGTGACGTAGTTATCTGCGGCGTAAGAAGTGACAGTCTGAGGTAAGTCAGTGTCCAATAAAGAAATGGTTTCGTCAAAGGTAAATTGTTGTACGCTTAACTTGCGTGAATACAGGCCCGGCGTCGGTGTAAACAGCTGTCTCCGCTTCGCCCCGCGATAAATTACGAAGTCATATGATGTGCTCCACGACCCTGCTGATGCATCGACAAGGTTGTTTTGCGAATGCTTGCGAAAGCAATTCCTCCACACTATTGGGACACCGAAGAGGGCGGCAATCAAACGAAATGGAGCGAGTGTTTGTGCGGGGGTGTTCGTGCGCCTGCCTGGTTCAGGTAGAAGTACTGCTCTGCCGACAGCAGGCCGTATTTCTTCTTGTCCTCCTCGCCCAGACCGGCCAGCATCTCGTAGAACACGTGGTAGTTGCGCTCCTCTTGCGCGTGCGTGACGATCCGCGACTTCTCCAGCAGGTACTCGGTCGTCCTCGCGCCGGTGATGATGCCCCTGTCACGCGGGAGTTCACGTGATGTGATCACGCGCTTTCCAGCCCGCGCCGGCTGACGCGGGATGAGTGACGGTGTATACGCTGCCAGTCGGATCGACTCTGCCATTGCCATCAGTAACGCCGCTGAACGACACGGCTCGACTCTCCGCTACATCCAGGTTCTGCCGTAGCAGCTGGCATCGAAGCGGGTCACCGCGCGCCGCCGGCGTCACACGGCGCCGGGCTGGGCCAGCTGACCAAGATGTAGGACCGATGTCAGCTGGCTTATCGCATCGGCGATGACAGAGTTACGAGCCGGCCGCCCCGCACGCGTTTGCAGCGGGAGCTCGCTGCTTAGTGCGGCCCCTGGAGAACGACGGACCCAGACACCGAGCGAGACCTACCGTTGGTCGCATCTCGGACGGAGATTTGAGCATGTGGCAGGTGCATAACAGCAGCCTTTGCGGAATCCGGGAGCATATCGCAGTGACGGTCAAGCATAAGCATGCATGAGTGAAGGATCATGTGCGTACATCATGACGTTTTTTTATTACATTTAAGTATTGCCTTGTGACGGCCGAAACCATAGACAGGCGTAAAAGTTGCGATTTACGATGCGGACGGTGGAAAACGTTATTATGAATTATTGCCAGCATGAGAACTTTCAACTCATAACGCCGAAAAACCAGGAGCTCACATTCTTTCATTTTTATATGAAGTACGAATCAAGTATAACTAGAGACCGGTGCACTTACTCCTTAAAGTAAACTTCCAGGTACTTTCCGAAGCGGGAGGAGTTGTCGTTGCGCATGGTCTTGGCATTTCCAAAACTCTCCAGGAGAGGGGTCGCCTCCAAGATCTGAGAATGGTTATGCGAACGATGTTTACGACCCGCTGGTACTCGTATGCATCAACACTTGCAAGACGTGCAATGGTATACACAATCTAAGTATATTGAATCTACCAGGCAACGCATCTACTCTCACAGCCTCTCAGCAACGGACCGGTGGTGATAGGATCCTGCCTCTTGTGACGTAATGCCTTTACACCACACACGGAGATGGCCGTCTGTGCCCCCAACGCCACCCCAGCCCTGGTGTGACAACGCTCCACTGACCATGCCGTAGTCACTATGAGCCTGTTCGCTGTCTCATCAGTGGTTCATCAGTTCATCAGTTCATCAGTTCATTTTCACGCCTGGCACTGCGCTGAGCGTCCCTCCGCGGCGCCCCAGAGACACCCTGCCTTGTGAGGAGTGGAAGAGGGGGGGGGGGCTGGCTGTGACCCACCCGCTCGACGATGAGGTCGAATGCGACCGCAAGCCGCCCGTTCGCCACTCGGGTCGAAGCGGCGCCTGGGACCCACCAGTTCGATGATGGCGTTCTGGGGCGACTGTGACCCACCTGTTCTGTGATGAGGTTGGAAGGCGACTTGTTGACGGCGGCCAGGTACTGCATGATAAGCTTGGTGGCTTCAGTTTTGCCGGCGCCGCTCTCACCGCTGATCACCACGGTCTGCTGTTCGCGCTCCTTCGTCATCCGACTGTAGGCCGACGACGCGATCGCGAAGATGTGCCTGAGGGCAGGGCAGGTCAAGGGCAGTCGAAGGGGATGAGACGTCATGGTCAGCCGATAGTGACAGGTCAGATCGGGTCACGGTCATGGCCATTCGATTGGGAGGGTTCACGAGAGATGGGCAGCCAGAGAGCGGTAGGCCGGTTCGGCATGGGGCAGTGACTGAATTTGGTAGTTTGTCTGGTAAAAGCATTGCAATGGGTCGGGGGTTGGCCATACTTTGGAATTATCAAGAGCCTCACGGGAAGCTCTTATAGATCTGTAAAACTGGATATGGAAGTTGATAAGGGACTCTAGATAATATTTGATTACAGCCATAACGCAACAATGCGCACAAGACATTCGTTGTCCGTACATCCAAGGTATAAGCGAATGCGGCGTAGTCCGCACCAGGTACGCGGCTTATCCACACTTGTGATCCAAGTAACACGGCCCACGCGGCCGGCCTGTTTCCCAGATGATGCGACACCCACGAGCGAGCCAGCCGTCCTACTCACGGTGGCAGAGATCCCAGGATCTGGTCCTCGTAACGCTTCACCATGTCCAGGCCGTAGATGTCGAACATGCGGTACGGGTTGACCGATACCAGGATGCTGCCCGTGTAGGTCTGTGGCGGACGGCGAGGCGCCCGGTGAGGACACGACAGAAGAGGTAAGTCCTCGCCCCCCCCCCCCCCCCCGACCGGACCCGGCCAGGGCCGCTGGAACGGATCCGCCTCCACATTACCGTAGGCTGTCGTTACGGCAATGAGTCCAACGAGAGCCGTTGGATACGGAAGTCACAGGTATGAGAGCTACCCGGTACAATGGTCACAGGTCACAAAATTGCCCTAAACAGAGGTCACAATTCACAGGGCCTCCCGATGCAAGGGTCACAGGTCACAGGGTCGCCCAATACAGAAGTCACAGGTCACAGAGTCGCCCAATACAGAGGTCACTGGTCACAGAGCGGTCTGGTACAGAGGTTACCGGTCACAGAGCCGCGTACAGGTGAGATTCGTGTCAACAGCAGACCCAGCCCGGGCAGATGTACATCGCGATCGACAGACGCACGTGGACTGTTTTACCTTCCCAAATTTTGATACACTCAGGACGAATGCAGTACGTGGGTAATGCCCAAACTTGACAAAGACCGGGACGTTGTTTAGCTGAAACGGCTCACAAAGACCCACGCCAATTTGTCCCGTATTAAACCAAACTTGCATCAACCCCATGTCGTAAACGCGTGCGTTCTTACGTATATCATCTCCTTGTCGTATCGTAGTTTCAGGTTCCATAAGATGGACGCCTCGTTGAGGTCACTGAAAAAAGACATTTCTGTCAGACACGTGTTGGAATAAGGTCATTTACGCTGTTTACGCATTTACGCATTTACGCCGTGGACTTGTAATTAAAAGGTACATGATCCTCAAGCTTTGTTTGCATGTCGGTTTTACATGCATTAAATCCTTTAAAACGTGGATTTTTTCCAATGGCATATCCAATTATCATCGATTAGTGAAAGGCCCGCAATCCCAAAACAAGCTTTTACCAACGACTTCGCGACCAATGTTGTAAACCCGTTAAGTACGCATGACGGCAAAACATTACGGGCGGATCAACACCGTATCCACATCCTCCGGGACCGTGGCCTTCAATGAATTTCTAGTGTCATCGCAGCAATGCATGTTGCACCTGCGTCAGCTGCTCCCGGTATAGGGGAAAGCAATTTTGGAAATGAACAAGAGACCCCACGCACACAAATGCCACAAATCTGCTGTCACACAGTGCTGTGCAGCTAGGAGAGTGATCTGCACGCCAATACGTCTACACTTCACCGGAATACATGTACTCGATGGAAGACGGCGGTTTGGAACTTCTGCACGCCGCAATGACGCGGCGGGCTAGCCACGAGCAAAATATCTTTACTGACTCTGGGGGCCTCATTAGCAGCCGGCACCGCACGTCCTCTGCATGCAGCTGGCGTGCGGATGTGTGCGTACGCACTCACCCATGTCTGCGCGGACCACACGCCACACACACAACGGCACAGTTATTGGCTCTGACTAAATCTACAATCTGCGGAGTGGCTGGCCAAGGCGGAGTGGTAAGTGTGTGGGAAGTCGGAAAAGAAGTCTCACCCGATCGCGATCATGTCGTCGACGCCATTCTGTCCCAGGTCCTGCCGCTTCCTCAGGTTCGCCAGGTTGGTCAGCGTGAACACCTGCGGCTGTGGAGCACACGGAGCACGCGGGCGTGAGTACGCGCCGCTTCGGAACACGTGAGGCGCATATCACTGCAAGCTGGTTGCAGAGGAGAAGCACTATGGTCCTGGTCCTGGCCAGCGAGCATCAACAGCAGCATCAACAGCAGCATCAACAGCAGCATCAACAGCAGCATCAACAGCATCTGCAGCAAGGAACCGCAGACAAAGCACGAGCACTGCTATAGCATGCCTGGTGACTGCTGCTATGACACGGCGTGTCGTGGCGGACAGCTACATCCGACGCTTGGGAGCATCAAGACCGCTGCCACAGACGAGCGTGTCCAGTAGACGCTCTTCTAACTCTGACGCGCCGTCGGTGGTGTCTGCACGGGCTTCCGCTGGCAACTCGTCCCACCTCAAGTCAACCAGTCAACTCACTCACGCTCATGCGATAGTCGGGGACCTACCGTAAGCACATAATAGTGTCATGCAACAGTGTTGGGTACCTGGATGCAGGCGCAGACGAAGGATGAACCATAATAACTGAGTGAAAAAGCAGCATAAATCGAACTATACCGCGCCAAGTCCTTCCGAACTAAAATCCGCCAGCCGAAGTTGAAGCAATTCGTCTGAATAAGACCTAGCCTGCTTCCGTTTCGTAGGTCTTTTCGCTCACGAAATTTACCAACTGTGGGTTGTTAAATGAGGTAGAGATCATCAAAGCGTCCATAGCACCATGAAGGGTCAACAATATTCTTGTCAACTTCTGGTATGTTTAGTTCCGCTAATGGTGGATGATTACGGGCATTTGTGGTGGAGCCGTACCGCCCTCAGAGCGTCACGGATACGCACGAAGGTACGCCGTGTCTCACGACGTTTTGACGCCTGCAAATACGCAAGCCATTCGCTTCTTTAGATCTTATGCAGTAGATGTTGGGGTAAATGCGGTAGATACTAGGGTGGGCACTGGGGATGGATTTATTCACATTTTAACGGTTCTTTAATTATGCCATATTTGGGGTCCACGTAAGCGTAACGAATGTCACGCCGTAGAAGCATAACTCATTCGGCTGATTCATCAAAGAAGCAGCGACGTCTTCCTCACCAATGTCCGTAGTGAGTCCGTTAGGGACCAATTTTTTCCCACGATAGTTTCCTCCGCACAGGTTTCCTCAATGGATTCCTCGACCCCTTTTGCATCAATACGTCACCTAAATACGGAGCATGCACGCTATCCTGACCACTCACGTTGCGAATGAGGAACGTGACGCACGTCTCCTGCAGGGAGAGTGGTGCGTGCCCCGCCGGTGGAGGCGGCCCGGGCGCGGGTCCGGCTCTCCTAGCGCCCCCTCCCTCCGGCGTCCTCCTCCGCCCCGTCACTGAGTTCCCGGTGGTTCTCGGTTCGGCGGAGGCGCGCCGGTGCGCGGCCCGGCCTCCGGCCATCTCGTGGCCGCGGCCCGAGCAGCGGCGGCACACGCGGCCCTCCCGCTCGTCTTCCAGACTGTCGCCACGCCCCCGCCAGCTCGGCTCGTCTTCCGGGGCGGCCTCCAGGCTACCGTGGCGACCCCGCCGGCCTCGCTTGTCCTCCGGGGCGTCCTCTGAGCTCCTCGTCCTCCCCATGGTCGGCGACCGGCCCTCGGGCGGCCGGCGCGACCCCGGCGGCTCGGGCTCGCCGTGGTTCGCCGCGCCATCGGCGGGCGGCGCCGGCGGGGCATCGGCGGCCGCCCGCTGCCGCCGTCGGCTGCGGTCCGATGGAGCGTCGGGTCCGCGGCGCCCGCGACGATGCTGGCGCCGGCGGCCGGCAGCGGCCGGCGGCGGCCGCTCCGTCTCACCGAAGTAGCAGAGACTGAGGAACTGCACCTCGTGCTCGGCGAGGCGCTCCAGTGGCGAGGCGTCCAGCAGCGAGTCCGGACCGCCGTCAACGCCGCGCAGGAACGGCATGCTGTGAGGAGCGCCCCGGCCGGCAGCAGAAGTGGCCGGTCCCCAGACGGTGGTGTCGCCAGCCCCGCTGGTGCCAACCCTCGACCTCATCGTCCGCTGTCACGTGACGACAAGACGCGTGACGTCGTTAGTGACGTCCAGATGCGTCACGACGACGACGAGGCGAGGGAAAGGCAAGTGTTCGGGCAAACGGTCGGGCAAAACTACAGAGGCTTCGACCGGTCACAGGTCTGCAGCTAACGCCAAGGGTGCATGAGGCTCCTGAAGACGCCACCTCTCGCAGTGCACACCCTGACACCACTTAGCCACGGATGGTGTCCCTAATCAGATAAGCGGCCGTGTGCCACAGTCTCTAACGTGCCGCTGGCGAGGATCCGCGCAGACACCGAGCTTCAGTGACGGCCGTTTCGGGGCGCGTTCGCCGACGCTGTGCTTTGGCGGCGCCGGCGCGAGCCGCGCTGGCCCGCGCTCCGTCGGCTCCGTCGCTGCCACCGCAGAGGGGCGCCCGTCGTCCTCCGAGCTGACACCATCACACGTGCACCCCGCCAGTCATCGCATCTCCTGGTGCCGGGCGGCAGGCCGGGTGGTGCTCCCCTCACACCGTGTGGCAAGGCCCGCGGGGTCCGGCCGGCCACCGGCGCCGGTGACTGGGTCTGTCCACCTCGACAGACCACGTGGTCTGTCCACTCCGACAGACCACCTGGTCTGTCCACTCCGGCAGACCACCTAGTCTGACCACTCCGGTAGACCACCCGGTCTATCCACTCCGGTAGACCACCTGGTAAGTTCACTCCGGCAGACCGCCTGGACTGTCCACTCCGGCAGACCACCTGGACTGTCCACTCCGGCAGACCACCTGGACTGTCCACTCCGGCAGAGTACCTGGACTGTCCACTTCGACAGAACCCTGGTGAGTCCACTCCGGCAGACCACCTGGCTGTCCACTCCGGCAGACCACCTGGTCTCTCCACTCCGGCAGAGTGCCTGGTCTGCTCACTCTAGTAGATCACCCGGTCTGTCACATCACACTCCAGAAGACGACCTGGCATACCATCCTCCAGTGACGCGCGCCTGGTCTGTACTGCCTGGCTTCTTCACCCCAGCTGGCAACCTGGTCTCCACACCAGACTGCCGGGTGTCCACACCAGACCGCTGGGTCTCCACACCAGACCGGTGGGTCTCCACACCAGACCACCGGGTCTGCACACCAGACCGGCGGGTCTGCACACCAGACCGCAGCGTCTGCACACCAGACCGCCGGGTCCTGCGCACCAGACCGCCGGGCCGCCGGTTCCACACCTGGCCCGCTCTCTCAGCCGGTAGCACTAACCTAGTGCGCCTGCCGACTAAGCATGGCTGCCAGGCCGGCGGCGGCGGCGGCGGCGGAGCAGCCAGCGTGACGTCACGCTCTGTGACGTCACGCTCCATCGGTGCGCGCCGTCGGCAATGGGGCCGTGACCCCGGTCACGTGACGGCCGGCGGCACGTGTCGAGGGAGGGGGGAGCGGCGTCACGTGATGCCGGTCATTGTTGGTCCGGAAGCGATGAAAAACTGGTCCACCCAGCGATGGACAGTGGTCAACGGCCGGACTCTCATCGCGATTACCATCATTAATTACCGGAGTGGAACAGCAGTAGGTCAAACAGGTCGTCTTTAGCGACCAGCCTGGACTACCTATACTACACAGCATTCCGGATCTGACTGCCTGTAAAGCTAGCAGCAGTTTTCCTGAACATCCGTGGGGTGCACGAGCATCAAAGGAAACAGATCCTCCGATTCAAGGGGCGGCAGTCAGGGGAAAGCTCGTGTTCGTTTCTGGAAAGTGCATAAGGCTCGGGAGACTGCGCCGCTTCAGCTAACAGCAGCTCTCGGTATTACCAGACAGCGCCCGCCGCGCGAGCAGCCCACTCGGCAACTCCGATGCCGCAGGCCTTCAAGCAACGAAACAGGCACGGCGCGCTGCCAAGTAGAGCGCATCATTGGAGCGCTGGAAGCAGCCGGCGCCCGGTCATGGCCCGGGTGCTGGTGACGTCAGGCGTGGAGGCGTCGGCTTGGCTGGCTTCGGAGTATGCGGAAACTCCGGATAATTGTTACTTTTTCGGCGGCGACGGCGCATCGAAATTGGGGTCGATCGATATCAATGAAGAGACAAGTTTAGAGCTTCAAATCTCACGCACGTGACGACGACGGAGATGGAGAGACAGCACATGTGGACCGCTGTTCCATCATCCTTCGGTTTGGGCGTCAGGCGTCGTTTGGTTACGGTCTTCTTTCCCACGATGTCACTGATTACCACCTTTTATGGCACCGCGCATTACGCTGCATGATATGTGTTCAGTAAATCAAAAGAACTAGCCACATATACGGCAGGTGAAGCCCACACGTCGCTCAAGCAGTCATTGGTTGCCCAATCGCAATCAAAGCCCGACAGTGCTCCGGTAATCATGACCCGACCGAGCCGCCTTGAGGCGCTGCCAGAGCAGAGGTCGTCCCCCTTAGGCGCAATTTTTTAAATTTTAGAGCTATAGACGGCTCCTTCCGTTCTTTCATGCTAAGTGCCGCCTGATTTTCGCCCACTCCCCCCTCCCCCTCACTCGCCGTAAGCAATCCTGGCTACGCCCCTGGAGCCGCCTCCAGCGCCCACGCGCTGGACGGGGCCCGGCCCTGGCTGCAGCCACTCGCCGCCTCTCGCCGCGCCACCTCGGCATCGGCTCCGATAGTCCGGCCGTGTGCAATGAGGTATGCGGACACAGTCGGCGGCTATGGAGGTCGGCCGCTCGGGCGCGCGCCAGGACTCATCGGTGCACACCGTTACACCAGCTGGGACGCCGGCCGCCGCTGCAGTCGGCCGCCGCTGCACGTGGCGGGCTGGACGGTCTTCGTTGGTCGTCTTCTAGGACTCGTCGCATGTTCTCGTTGTTTGGTGGGTGATTCCTCCTGCATAAGCTCTTTTTCGAAGCGTATTGCAATTGTCGCCAATGATTTCCCTCTTCTTGCCTTTCACGTCCCATTTTGTTTGTGTTCTTTTCTTCCCGTCAGTTGTCCTGTTGCTCACTAATCGCTTTTTTGTTTTTTTTCTGCCTGCCATTTTCCTCTAGTGCATCCATCTTTTGGCCTCGTCCTAGGATTTCCTCACCAGTTGACTTGGCATCCCTTTCTTTGCTGTTTTGCTTCTGTCCTTTCCTCCTCCGGCAACCCACCGTTTCTGCACGTCCAAATGCATGCCGTCATTTCCAGTTACTGCTGCACTCACAACGTCCCTCGTCGTCCCTCGCATAGGAAACGGGACCACATCACAACTGAGTCCATCTGATATCACTGCAGACTGATATCGATGCAGACAGTTCTTGCTGCTATACGTCTGGGAATCCGGCACATGGCCGCAGCCGTCCAACCGGCAGTTAAACCAATCGTCTGGATCTGGAGGCGTCTGAACCACCGTTACGATCCGAAGTCTAAACCCGTCCCTTGAATCAGGCCGGTGCAGTGAGAGAGCTCCCGGCGGCTGGCGCCATGCCAACCGGTGGATTCCTGACGACTAGCGAGCGTGCGTCTGAATTCCGCCTTTTATTGGCAATTCGGCCGCGTTGCCAACGTTACCGCAAAGCGGCATTGCGCCGAGTCTATAGTGACGGAGCAAATGGCTGGGAGTAAAATTAGAAGCATCAGTTCTTATGCAGTTGGCCAGAAGTAGCAGAAGTAGCAGCTCTAATTGTGCTTTAGCTAAACAGATGCTGCAGGGGCATGCAGACGCGGGGTGTACAACAGCATCAACTTCGCACGTGCTATCCCGCGGCTTCATGGTGGAATCACCGATAAGATTTAAGTCATCCTATGGCTTATAGCTGTAAACATCTGTACATAAGATTTAAGACGAGCGAGAAGACTGCGTAACGACATTAAGACCGCGGTGATGGTGCTGCAGTTTGATGGTGAAATCAGCCGTAAAGCCTTCTGCTATGATTCATTCTACTAACAACATTGGTGTTTGCAGAAGTCTGGAACAAAGCCTAGATAGCAATCTAGGTGAGTCGCCCCAAACCATTATTAAGGCCATACAATGAGCTTTACCACCTACCTGTGGTCACGTATCCGCAATCGGCGGCTTATTACCTCATTGCTCAACACGTACAATTTCACTTGATTCAAGATGTCGGAGAGCAGCACGGCATCGTCTCAGTTAATACATAAGCCTGCAGCTTCATCGGCATTTACTCACATGACGTGCGACGTGCGTAAGTGACAGTGACCTTGACCCAACCACGACCTGACCGTGAACCGACCATCAGCCGACCATGACCCGGACGTGACCCGACTGACCTTTCCGTTGACGACCGCCTGGACGGTGACCACCTGACCGGCGCGGTGGAACTCCGTGACCTCTCCGGGCAGCACGTAACCCACGCCGGGGTCGAACCACACCAGGTCCCCCTGCGGGCACACGAAGGCACCTGGTCAGCGTCGGTCCACCTGCCAGGGACATCGCACCACACGCCGGGTCAGGCGCCGGGTCAGGCTGGGGAGGAGCAGGCGCTGAGTCAGGCTGGGGAGGGACAGGCGCCGGGTCAGGCTGGGGAGGAGCAGGCGCCGAGCCAGGCTGGGGAGGGGCAGGCGCCGAGTCAGGCTGGGGAGGGATAGGTGCTGGTCAGGTTGGGGGAGGGGCTGGCAGGCTCCTGCGGTGTCCAGGAGTTATGCGGGCAGCCTCTGGCGAACCGTGGAACGAACGCATTCGGCCAAATTGTCTTTGATTCGCTTGGCTACGGGCAGTCTAACACCAGCGTAATTTGTGAGCCTATGGTCATCACCGTGCGCTTGGTTTTTAATTGTTTCTTTTTCCATGCGGGTTACCTGCAAGTAAACACACCACCAACTGCATGACAGGCACATACGAGAGGAAAATTTTTTGCTGTGTCACGATCAGCTGGGCATGTTGTGTGATAGGCGTGTGGGATCCAAATTACTCCGCTCCAGCTGCTTCTTCATGTCCTAACATACGTCACACCGCGTCCGTCACACGCTGAGCTATGGAGGTGCTGCAAGTCACGGACATTCTCATTGGCAACGCAGCCAGTGCTGCTTGGTCATGGCAGAGGTGTTCGTCACCGTCACCCACTTGTGCAGAGGCGGGACGTCTTCTGCCCCGGGGCGGTCGAGCCGGCCGGCCGTTCAGCGGCAGCGACAGCCGACCCAGGCTCTTGCACCGCACCACACCACACATCGCGCAGCGCGCCGCGCCCTCTCTGAGATCCTCCGCCGAGCAGAACTTGCGCTCACCGCCGGTAGCGGCGCTGGCGTCGCGGCGCGGGGCCGGGCGCCGGTCGGAGGCCGCGGGCCGGCCCGGCGGCGACGGCGGTGAGATCTGAAGAGCTCTGCTGGGAGCCGAGCGCGAGCGCGGTGGCTTGGCCGGCGGGGAGCGGCGCCGGCCGGCCGCCGGGGCGTGGCCGCGTCGCCGGGCAGCCCGCGGAAGCCGCCCGGCGTCGCGGCAGCCGCCGGCGGCGACGGCGACCGGCCGACGCCGCGTCGGCCGGTGAACGGCTCGTTCGTCGTCTTCGACGCCTCCAGCCGACCCCGCACGCTAGCGAAGAGGGACGAGACGCGCTGTCCACCGCGCCGCAGTGCGTGCTGGCCGATCCTGCACGTACTGGAGACGCCGGCGAACGTCTCGCTGGGGCGGCGCTCTCTGAAGGAGCGTCCGAGCGCGCGCCATCTCCTGCGGAATGTGGCGCCACAGTCCAGCGCGTCTCCGGTGTGGGGAAATCCTCGCCCGCCGTCTTGCATCCTCATTTCACTTCCGGAGCCGTGCACACGCATAAGGCCGCCGACGAAGCGCGAGCCGCCCCTGGGAAAACGCCCTCGTCGGCCGATTTCTCATTGGCATTCCGCGCTGAGAACGGCGGCGGCGCGCGCACAGGAAAAGTTCCGCGCCAAATTACCGATGCTGTTGTGTCTCCGCCTGCCGCCGGCAGTTTCGGCGAGTGTCGTGAGAGGGCGTGCCGGCAGCGGCGGCCGAGGAGCGGCACCGGGGTTCGGCACGTGCGCGGCGCTTTCTCGGGCCCGATCCCAGCCCCGAGCCACGCCTTCGCGTCGGGAACACGCAGAGGGCGGCGCGCGCTGGTGAGCCGAACGCGCTTGTGAGTGCGGCGCGTTGGTGGCGGCGAGACGGCGCTAGCAGTGGTCAGGGACGGATGTCAGATGGACGCGGCTGTTCATCGCCCATCTCAGGCTGCCCAGCAGCTTCGTCAATGCTAACACGTGTTTGGCGCCGCGGTGTGTGCACTTTGCAGATGTCAACGAAAATGTGATTGAGGGGCGGCGGAAATAGTTGGCAGATTACAGCAGCTTATCGAAATAACACGCAACTTGCATCTGCATCGCAGCAGCAAACTGCAAAAATCCAAGGCCACATCATGCTAGCCGCAAGAGCGCGTCTCGGTAAAAACACCGTTCTCCAGCTGGTGCATTCCTCAGCGTGCATGTCGGCTCTGCTCAGCTGGGCTCCGTTGTTGTGTCGGCCTTGACGGCGGATCAGTGGCCGGACAATCCAGCGCCAGTCGTCTGGCGGCGTCCGACGAGCCAGCCGACCCCGGCGCATGCGCCAGCTCCTCGAGCGGCCGCCGAACACCCCGCGGGGCACCGACGCTACACCCCTTGAACGGTGCCTGGCGGGGACGTGGCCGGTCGCAAACAAAAACTGGGCGCGGCGCCGCCGCCGCGCCGCCGCCGCCGCCGCCGCCGCCCGGTGGGCCGGGAGGGCCCGGCTCCGGCGCGGCCGCCGGCCGGTCGGACGGGTTCGGCCGCCGTCGGTTGACCCGCCGCTGGTACAGACAGCGGACCCTGCACCGGAGGGTCGCTCGCCAGCCGGCGCGAGAGCGGTCACCGGGGTCACTGGGGGCGGCGGACTCCCCGATCGGTGACGGAGGACTCCCTGATCGATGACGGTGGGCTCTCCAGTCGGTGACAGCGAACTCTCAGATCGGTGGCGGTGGACTCCTCGATCGGTGACGGCTCATTCTCAGATCGGCGATGGCGGACTCTCAGATCGGTGACGGTGGACTCCCCGATCGGTGACGTGGGGGCTACACTTGGCCTGAGATCAGGTGCTTTTAAAGGGCTGGTCTTCACTTCGCGACGTCCTCATCGTTAATCACTGGGCCTCGCTGTTCTCACCCCGACAGTCGGGTGGCACGGGGCTTCACTGAGGCGGCCGAGGGGCTTCACTATCAAAACACTGAGGCTTTAACGGCCGTCGAATCGACTAAGGCAGCTGTCAGCTGTCACACCACGCAGCTCAGACGTCACTCCGACAGGCACTCCCGGTCACTCCGATGGCTGCTCCGTTGTTCGCGTGAAGGGCGTGTCAGAAGGTCACCCGGCATCCGGTGGTCACTGCTAACCGTTTCAATTCGGGTGCCAAAGTCTACATTGCCATGGTTGATCCAGTGCTTGTTTTTCTAGCCTTGCGCCTTTCTTCAGCACGTGTTGAAATTTTCACTCCTCGCGCTCGCACGCAACGTTGCGAGCTTCAGCGACGCCTCGGCACAGGCAGCCACACCTGCTCTCAGGGGACACCAGCCAACCACTGTCTGCCACCCAGGCACGCGCGACCGGCCGGCGCAGCACAACCTCCTCTCCGGGGACACCGGTCAGACACTGTCCGCCGGCCAACGCGACGCAGATGCGACCAACATCTGGCGCAGAGGCCGTTTACGATGAAAAATTGGCTCGTTTCCCACGCTGGCGCCGGTGGCGGCGGTGATCGAAGCAGCAGCTGGCGCGCCTGAGAGTGAGCGCCAGCCTGAGCTGACGGCAGTGGGTCCTCTGGCGGGAGGGGGGGGGGGGGAGCACAGGTGGGACGGCGTCACTGACGACGGATCTGACCGCGTAACGGACCAGGGTGTGCTGGCGCGGGGCAGGCGGTGAATGAGGACTTGGTGGCACAAACAATTAACGACTCTTATTGCTTCGTTCTCTTGTTGGCGCATGCAGTATTGTGTTCGGTGTTTAACAGAAAAGGCGAGTACATCATGACATAAGGGCTCGACTTGCCTCCAGTTCGCCGGTTTTAATAGTTATAGCGATTAAGACATATTTTCTCACATTCTGTAAAATACAGAGGATACTATACGACTTGTTGCAGTGTAAGTCGGTATCATAGGCGACAACGCTCTTCTTGTCACAGGGCTTGTGGCTGCCAAGCTAGTTTACTTTTTCATTCCTGCTACAACAAACACTAATTACCAGTTGAAAACGGACTCAACCCAAGCCAATCCCGAATAACCAATATCTTGTCCCTTTACTACCTTGTTGTCGCCCGCAGTTCTGTGGAATAAAGACTGTCATAGTGAACCACGAGAATATGCGCAAATTTGCGTGCATTTATCTCGAAAATGGGTTTCTGGTAAGCCCTATGCTCTTTTATTTCAATGTCACCATGGCCGGACAACGAGATCCTTACCACGCCACTGTCTTGGCTTGGGCCATAACACATATGAATTAAAAGATTGTAGTGAAAGAAGCTTACACGATACTTACACAATGCTGTTCGTCTTTAAGATCCCAGCTTAAATATGGCAAATATGGTATGTATCATGTGATTTACGGTATTAATTGTAAAAACAAGAGCTTTTACCATCTTCATCCAAAATACATTGTTTTTACATGAGCCCAAGGGTGGATAGAATGCGCAACTTGCTCGTAAACTCCCGATAAATCAAGTGGTTCAAACTGTAGTATTACATCATAATCACGATAAAGTTCTGATTTTCTTGGACAATTATGGAAAACTGTCGACATTTCAACGTCAACAATTATCACGATTCAAGTGGTAATTACGGGTATGTGTGAATTTAATCAGTAGAACAGAGAATTGTCCATTTTATGAGCAAGGACATAGCTCTTATTGTGTTAGGAGTTATTTTCAGCTTGAATAAATTCACAAGACCGCACTCCATTAACAAAAGTCCGTGCACTGACCATAATCCATTCAGCAACAAACTGAATGACACCCATGCAGCCAATACATACGCCATTCAATACCAGTGCATCCCGGACATCAACAGCCCAGCTGTTGCAGCCTCCGCTACACGAGGTAGCCAATATATACGTCATGCAATACGAGCGCGTCCCGGACATCAACAGCCCACCTGTTGCAACTTACGCTACACGAGGTAAGTGCACGGTCCACTGCAGAGCGGTTACATCCCCGGAGAGAATCGCATGGCATCGTTCACTTCCACTGCCTGCCACGCATGGCTGGGCGCAGCCACTTTCTCCGCGCAAAATCCGCTCCGGCGCTCGGCTGAAGTCTTTTCTTGCCAGATCAAGCGCGTAGTGAGAAATCTGTAGCAAGCGGTCCGAATATCGAGAGACATTTCCCTCATACATTGAGGGACTTTCGTTCGAAGCGCGGTGGACCGCTGCAGGGCTTGTTC